CTGAATTCTACCAAACTTTTAAAGAGGAATTAATACTAATTCTCTTCAAACTCTTCCTGAAAATTGAAACAGAGGCCACTCTTCCAAATTTATTCTATGAGGCCAGCATCACCTTGATACCAAAACCAGACAAAGATACAACAACAAAAACTACAAAAAAACTACAGGCCAATATCTCTGATGAACACAGATGCAAAAATCTTCAACAAAACACTAGCAGTCATTATACAGCAACACATCAGAAAAATTATACACCACAATCAAGTGGGATTCATCCCAGGGAGCCAAGGATGTCTCAACATATACAAATCAATAAATGTGATACACCACATCAACAAAACCCAAAACAAAAGCCATATGATTATCTCAACAGCCGCAGAAAAGCATCTGACAGAATTCAACATTCCTTCATGATAAAGGCTCTCAGCAAATTAGGTATAGAAGGAAAGTATCTCAACACACAATAAAAGCCATATATGACAAGCCTACCACCAATATCACCCTTCCTCTTGCCACGTGATCTGCTTGTTCCCACAGGCTGCCTGCTGTTTCCACCATGAGTAGAAGCAGCCTGAGTCCCATGCCAGATGCAGCTGTCTCACAATCGTAAGCCAAATAAACCTCTGTTCTTTATAAATTACCCAGTCTCGGGGATTCTGTTATAGCAACACAAAACAGACTAATACAACAACCTACAGAATGGGAGAAAATATTTGCAAACTATACATTCAACAATGAATTACTACCCAGAATATACAAGGAACTCAAACAAATACACAGTTTAAAAAAAAAAACCCCAATTAAAAAATGGGCAAAGGAGCTGAATAGACATTTTCCCATGAAACATATATGAATGCTAAATGAAAAAATGCTCAGCATCACTAATCATCAGGCAAATGCAAATTAAAACCACACTGAAATATCATACCACCCCAGTTAGAATGGCTATAATCAAAAAGACCAAGAATAACAAATGCTGGCAAGGATGCAGACAGAGGGGAACTCTTCTACATTGTTGGTGGGACTGTAAATTAGTGCAGCCACTATGGATAACAGTATGGAGATTTCTCAGACAACTACACATAGATCTACTATATGATCCAGGAATCCCACTTCTGGGTATATACCCAAAGAAATGGAAATCATCACGTGAAAGGGATACCTGCACTCCCACATTCATCACAGCTCTATTTACAACAGCCAAGATACAGAGCCAACCTAAATGTATGTTGACGGACAATTGGATAAGGAAAATGTGGTATATATACACAATGGAATACTATTCAGCCATAAAAAAGAATAAAATTCTGCCATTCGCAGCAACATGGAAGAGCTTGGAGAAAATGCTTAGTGAAATAACCCAGGCACAGAGGGAAAAACACTACATGTCCTCACTCATAAGTGGGAGCTGAGAGAAAGAAGGAAGGAAAGAAAGACCACGGTGGTGTGTTAGATTTGCAGAGAGAGAGAACAGAACTAAGGTTGCTGGAGTTGCGGGGGAAGAGAAGTCGGGGAGAGGCTGGGAAGGGGACATGGGGAATAACAGCAATTTCAGGTGGTGGGCAGGCTGATAGTATTGATCTGATCATCACATCTTAGGCATAGGTGCTGATGGTTAGCTCAGCACCTCATGAATATGTATAATCAATAAAAAAAAAAAACCTCTGTACATACATTCATTATACCTCATATATATCATGACTGTTTGTCAATATCATCCATAGGTCTGTGAGCATCCACATTTTAGTCACCTCTGAATCTGAGAACCTAGCATAGCACCTGTTCATAGAAGGCATCCCTAAAGACTGTTGAATGAATGCATTCTAAAAGGCATACATTATATAAAAACAAACTACATAAGAAGCACAGCTTCTGACTGTATTGGTAGCTGCAAGATAAAAATATGCAACTTCTCACTATCCTTGTGCTGGCCTTAAAGAAAAAGAAATTTAATACTAAATTCTGGGGAAAGCAACGGGGCCAAAGGGAAAGTTTGGTTAATGGCTAGCACAGGCATTCTCAAAGGGCAATATCGCCCCCAAAGGGGCCAAAGTTAGTTCTTGAGAACAAAAAAAAACTTTTTTACATATGAAGCACAATTATACAAACAGTACATAAACAGATAAACTCTATCTGTGATATTGTAATTTAATTGGGGGAGAGTTAGGAAAAAAATATCTAAAAGGGCTCTTTAAGGAAGTGACAATGAAAAAAAGAAATTGAGAAACACTGGTCTAGCCTCAGACAGCCAGGCCCTGGCTAAAATGCAAGAGATGGCTCTTGTGTTCCTTGCTACCGATTTCCTAGGCAAAGCATAGTTGTACAAACTTTCTCTTTTTAAACCCATCTCCTTTCCTGCCTGAGCACTGGTCACTGCTCTGCTCTATCTTCAAACCACCCTTCACCCTTTGCTCAAAGTTTCTCCCTCAAAACATACCTGATGTTTTAATTCAAATGCATTCGGTGAGGTACAACCCTATGCCCCCTACTTCTCTACTTTGGACGGAGTCGTTCCAACCAATTAACTGAGCAATTATCCTATTTTAGTTTTAAGGTTATCACATGTCCTTTCCTACCCTCACTGCTCTCATCATTCTATAACAAAAATTAAAAGCAGGATGAGAGCTGCTATTTTTAAAGTCTTTTTATAAAGCCTTCTGAAAAATAATGCATGTTTTCCCAATGTAAATAATCATGCTGGATTTATGAGGTAGGATCCAGAAAACTGCTGATTCTACTTCCATCTGACCACCTTTCCATTTCCATTCCCATCACTGTAGTCTGGCTATCACTATTTCTTTGACAACACTCTTCTAATATATCACCTCTAATCTATGCTCCACAGAAATTATCTCCCTAAAATATACATCCAATTATGCTACTTCCCAACACCAAAACCTCCCCCAGTAAATGAGTCACTTGGCAAATACTGAGTGAGCATCAGCCGTGTGCCTGCTGCTGGTCTCCGGAGATTCCACAGAGGACAACAGAGATAGCCACTGCCCTTGTGGAGCTTATAGTTGGGAATAAGGGAAATGTTAAATGAGGAAACAAACATAACCATAAATTGTGTTGAATGCTAAAAACAAAAGAGCAAAAACAACATGAAGACCGCTATAAGAAAACTAAGGGGAACAGACCTACTTTAGATTGGGTCAGGGAAGGCCTCTCTGAGGAGGTGACATTTAAACTGAAATCTGAAAGAAAGAAAGGCGCCCAAGTAAAAAAGTTGCAGTCAGAGGAAAAAGAGAGTACTTCAGGCAGTGAAAAGAGTTTGGGGGAAAGGAAAGAACCCAAAGCAGGAAAGATCCTGAGAAGTTAGAGAAACTGAAAGAAAATCAGTATCACTGAAATGTACTAAGATACAATTTGGCTCCCCATTCCCAGTAGAATAAAATCACGTCCTTATCAAGAACCTTCACATTCTTGCCTTAACTGACCTTTCCCACCATCCTTTATATTACCTTTCTTTCATTTGCAACCCACACTTTACCCACCCCACATTACTTCCATTCCCACCACCCCAGATTACACAGTTTATACCTCTAAGCCATTGTTCTTGCTCTTTCCTCTGCCTAAAATGTTATTTTTTTTAAGTCTTTCAGATCCCATCAGGCACAATTTATCGACCATTTTCTGTGACTCCAGAGCATTTTGTTTAAAACTCTTCTACTACACTTCTAAGACTGACTTATATTACAATTAATTATACATACATTTGCCTTTTCTACAAGATTATGACTATAAGCCATGTCAGTTATTTTTGTATCTCCTCCCCTGATATTCCAAACATGAAACACAGTGCTCAAGAAATGTGTGTTGACTTAATGTGTTAGTATGAGTTTTCATAATCAGCTATATAATTTTTAACTATATTATACTAGATGATTAGTATTAAACTAAATTATAAAGTACTTATTCTAGAACAATAACCAGCTTGTAATCATAACCAACTTTTTTTAGAAAACCAATAAGGATTATAGTTGAGAAATAAAAAAAATTCCTTCAAGGTTAGAGTAAAACAAAGGATAGTTTCCTTAACAATTACTAAGACATGTCCTATATTAAGTTTTCTTGCCACAGCAGAAAGTACATAATCAGAATACAAAAGAAAAACAGGTTTACCACTTTTAAAACAACAGATAAGGTAATTATTCCAAAATCAGTCTGTCCATATACATTCATAGAATATGCGAACCTCTTTTTCCCCGAGTACCATTCAATGAAAAACCAGTGTAAAACAAGAGGAAGCATAGCCATAAACCCAAGATAGAGCCAATCATAAAGTTCTGGAGACTCTGTGCAAGGCTGACAATATTTCTGTGCGTTTGTTCTCTGTCCTCTTGGGCACACCTACAATATATAAAAGCAATAGTTTTGTACAGATATTATTTTAGAATATTAACATCCCCTCCCCCCCCAAAATCATTCCACAAGACATCCTATTTGGGTTTAAACATTTAAGTTTACATGTGTAGTTTTGATAAATTAAAAGAAAGAAAATAAAAAGAAATGTACATATGTGCCACATCTGTAAAATGCTCTTAAAAGACTCCCTTCACTAAATTACTAAAATAGTTGACTAACATTCAATGAAAAACCTAGTTATTAACATCATATAAAAATAATTACAGAAAAACATTCTGGAGTTGTAATCTTAACTTATAAGTCACTATACTAAATCATTTTTTAAAATAATTAAAAATTACTATAAGCCTATAAAATGTTTTTAAAAATACTTAATAATTGTGACTGTCAAGAAAGAAGTAATGTACTGTAGACATCAACATGACAATACAAACAATGATTTTATTAATACCTCCATATTCTTTAATAAATAAGCATATTTAAGAAAAAGATGCTACATTTGAAAATATTCTAAGAGCAAATAGATTTTACAAATGAAATACATACAAACATAAGACTTACCCCACATTCTCCATATATTTCAGTTGAGTCATTTTTAAATAACAGGGTCTTCCCACAATAAAGTCCAAGGCATGCTGGTTGAATATCGACAGCTTTTTAAAAACAAATGCCAGTATAGTAACATCTTTTGTGATTACAAGAAAATAATGCAATAATGGCTGAAGCACTTGGCAGAAATATCTCAATACAGTTTTAATTTTTAAAATGATATGTATTAGACAAAAGCCTTGAAGCATTTTTTTTTTTTTTAATTTTTTTATTTTTTTCCTTTTTTTGTCTTTTTTCATGTCCGGCAACGGATCGCAACCCTCAGTGTCGCGCCCCCGGCAACGGGATCGCAACCCTCGGTGCTGCGCCCACACCTCACTCAGCCAGTGAGCAGGAACCGGTCTGTATGTGGGATCTGAACCCTCGGCGGGAGCGCCACCGCACTCCCAGGCGGCACACTGTAGCAGTGCACCACCGGGCCGGCCCAGAAGCATTTATTTTTGAATTTAAATTGCTCCTTTTATACTGAGACACTGCGGCAGAAAGTTATACTGGAACCTTGCTGTTAGTACTGTTCCTTATCATTAAGGTCCTCAACCGGCAGAGCACCGCCTTCGTGGCGTGTGAGGGCGGCCGCAGCCGCGGCCCGGTGCGCTTCCACAGCGTCCCCGCCTTCGTGCTGGCCACAGGTAACCGGTCGGACCCTCCTAACCCCGAGCGGGCGGCAACCGGAAACGTTAACTATCTCTCTGGGCTGGAACCTACGCGGCGCAACTAACCCACTCCGCATGCCTTTGCAATTAATTAAATTAATTTAATTCTAAATCACCCAAGGTGTGTCAGCATCTCAGCTTAACGAATTTGGTGCATGCAATTTGATTATTTCGCAGATCTATCCGCCCTTGGTCTTCCTAGAGCCTTGAGGAGTGAAGAATGCCCTGTTTCTCTTACTCAGCTCCTCGTTCAGCACTCGTCAGGCATTCCTAAGAGATTTCACAGTTGAATAAAGCAAGGTACGCTACGGTCAAGGACAGAGCAAAGAGCAGCCAATGTACCGGGGTTCCAGGCTGGCTCACGATAAGCTTGGTAGACACATTATTACCCCTAACAAGTTACTAAACACTGCCTCTTTTTCCTCATCTGTACAAAGTTTCTTCTTCCCTTCTTTGGGTAAGAATTAAATGAGAATGAATGAGCCAAACAGTTTATAAATAGTAAAGATACAGATGTTGCTGCTCCTATTCTTTAAGAATGGGAACAGACAGTGTTTGGGTTCAAATCCTACAACCCCTTAAAGCTGTGCAACCTTAAGCAAATTACTTAACCTCTCTGTGGCTGTGTTTCTTCATTTATCTCATAGGGTTTTTTGTAGGATTAGATGAGAGTATGCGAGATACTTATATTTGGTATATTTTAAAAATTCTGTTCCTCGAGATGGATATAGAGGACTGCTAGTTAGAGTTCTCTAGGCATTTAGAGCCATTAAAAGTTTTTGCTGGGTTCCGTACTATAGATCCTTGTATGTCATGTAAAGCAGGACAGCCCTTACAAAGAGGGAGATCCCTAATGGGGATGAACTGGAAAGCTGGATCTGGTCTCTAATATGAGTACTCCCTCCAAGGGACTGAATTCTATTAGTGAGGATGCTTTTGTAGTAGTGACTGTAAGAGAACTGGGAGGTAATTTAGTCAGTCCAGGAATAGGGTTATTACCCCTTTCCTTCAGCGTCTTCAAGTCGTACAAATCATTCTGTTAGAAAGTTTGATCTTAGTTCTCCATAATGAATTGAATTCCAAATTAGTCTGATTATGAATGACACAGTAATAGACAGGCATATGTCTGTCTTAGAGCAACCTCAGGCAGCTGAAAGAAGAATGCCTCTGGGGAAACTGATGCCACTTTCTCCTTTGGCAGAGAATGATGTCACATCCGGATTGGGAGGGCACTAGAGGGAGACAGAATTTATGTTTAAGATTGCATCTAAAAGTCCTCAACAGTTTAACTAGTCTCTGTAGCTACCTGATATTCCCCCAGGCAACCCAGCAGCAGATTAGAGGCATTCTAGATTTTGTGGGAAATGACAGCTGGCAGCAGGGTCACCAACTACATCATAGCCCTGGGTTGATTAGGGCAGGGGCAGGCAACCTCTCAAGCATAATAGTTCCTGAGAGCATCACTGTGTGACAGAACAATAATTAAAGGGCACTAATGGGCACTTTGAGCTATTAAGAAATTGAAATTCTATGTTCTCTACTTCGAAAAATGCCTAAAAGGCAGACTAATAGTGTTAAAGATCATTGGTCTGCCCCTCCCCATGCCTCAGTATCACAATCTGTAAAATGAGGATTACAGTCCCACCTCAGAGGGTTGCTGAGTTCATCTCCACGAAAAATGCCTAAAAGGCAGACTAATAGTGTTAAAGATCATTGGTCTGCCCCTCCCCATGCCTCAATATCACAATCTGTAAAATGAGGATTACAGTCCCACCTCAGAGGGTTGCTGAGTTCATCTCCACCCTACCATGCTAAAATGCAAATTCCTCTGTTTTGTTCACTGCATTCCAAGTGCCTAGAACAGTAGGTAGTCAGTGAATATTTGTTGAATGGGTAACTGAAATGAAATTTGGAGAAGAATATGCTCATTGGCAAATGTAAATATCTGGTCCTTTTGAAGCCTATTCCCAGTGGAAATTAAACTTTTCCCTTTAATATTAATATTTATTATTTCCCCAATCTACACATTATCACATGCAATTCTCAAAACAGATCTTTTAGGGGAAATACCAATGCCACATGACACATGAGACACCAAAGCCACACTAAGTGGAAGAACCAGGATCTGAATTCAGCCCTATCTGATTGCTTCCCCCTCATCCTTAAAATTTTTGTAGCTGAAGAAGATATGTTCCAATTTTCTGGAAATCTCCTTAATATATTACACCTCATTACACATACAGCATATTTTTAAATTTGTCTTTCTCATCCAACTGAACTCCAAGAAGGGGAAAGGCTATGTTTTATTCTTGTACCTCTTACATCTTCCACAGTAATTGGCACATAGTAGGTATTCACTAAATCTTGTAAGTATAGAAATTTCAGTGATATCCTTGTACAGCAGAAAAGGAAAAACCTTAGACTTTGGATTGAGTCCTGGATGAGGTTGCGTAATTTAGTGGAAAGGATGTGGGCTTTGGAGTCACCTGGTCCTGGGTTTGGCTCTAAGCCACTTATTTGATGGTTAACTCTGGGAATAATGTGAGAATAGTAAATATTACAGAACCTACCTCTCAAGGCTATAGCAGGAGCTGCTGTAATGGATTAAGCAGCTAGTGTGTGCAAAGTATCTGGCACATAGGATGTATTCATGTGAAACAAATATCTTGATTTTTAATGTTAGTGATTTACTGATTAAAAGATAAAAGCCACAGCAGGTAATAATGGGCAGAAGTACCTTTAACAGACATCTGGTCCATTTTTAAAAAGAGGAAAATGTAACTCAATGAGGTGTAGCAGCCTACCCAACCACCCACCTCAAGAAAACAAGACCCCAAGACTCCAGAAAGGGTTGGCCGGAGGAGTAATTGTAGGCTCAGTGATAACTTCTTGAGCCAGCTTCCCACTCCACCATGGTCCCAGGATTGGCAGCTCATACCCCCACTCAGCTGTCCAACCAAGAGAAAAGGGTAGGAACACTGAGCCAGGGGCCTGTCACCCATGTCTCCTGATAGGTGACAGTCTTCACACCGACACCCACCCTTCAGCCTTAGCTTTCCCTATTCCAGCAGCCCCTCATTTCCATCTACTTCATCATTCTCCTTTCATTAAACCTGCTTTTCATGTTGCACCAGCATCAAGGTAAAGACATTTTTGATTCAGCTTTGCTGTTAAGGTCCACAGGCATGTTTTACTCTTTTGATTATAAACTTGCTCTGTTTTGACACATCATGTGTTAAGAGGGTTTCGGTGGACTAGTCTGTAACTGATAGCATACTGGTGTCTTGTAGGACTCGGTGTCAAAACTCAGAATACAAGAAATATTTTATTTTTCCAACTTAATCCCTCCATGTGCAGTCCCCTTTCCTGGTATATGTGTGAGAAATGGTCTCTTAAAAGTGCCGTGGCCTTAGAGAGGAGGGCCCTTTGGTCCTTAGCTTACACAGGTATCTAGCAAAGTGAAACGTCATCTATCCCGTGCGTGTATGGCCCCTGACTCTTCCCCTGCCTCCCCTCCTGGTTTGCTGTCTCTGCCCCACAGGTTGTCTTCCTCTGTTGCTATGGGGAGGTCAACACAGGTCTTCCCTGCACTCAGGACCATCAGCCTCCTCTGTTTCCTATCCAGAGGAAATTTCTATCTCTAGAAGTATTTCTCCCTCAGGATACTCCTTCACCAACAAATGTCTTTCCCCTGAGAGCTTAGGTTTCCATAAAACAAAACTAGAAAGACCTGCTTCCTCCCCTGATATGTACCTTCCCAGAGGCAGTGATCACCAAGCCAGCTTGAATTGGGGAAGAGGAAGAGAAGAAAATTCGAGAAGGGGTAAAACTGTCTTAATGACCCCCAAGCCACCTAGCTCCATTCTGTTGGAAATACATTTCAGGATTTAAAACAACTGACCTTCAGGTCAAACTTTGGGCTGTCAGGGGCATAAATTCTCAAATAAAAACCCTGATGCAAAACGCTGCTGTAGAGGAGAATAAAGCCAACAATGGCCATGTTTTCCTTTATAGTGTTGACAGGTTGATGTCCCATGGTTTTCCTCTCTTGGCCTCTATAATGTGTCCTAGAAAAAATCCTCAGAGTAGTTAACAGATATGAATGTATGAGCTGGGGAAAACATGGTATTCAGTTTTATAACTTATGCAAACATCATTAAGTTGAAAATAGAAAGATGCACCTAGCTATTATTTACCTGATACTTACTCATTTTGAAACTGGATTTTTGCTTCATTCCTTTTTATGGTAGGGAAAGGATACCTCCTTCCATCCCACCCCCAGAAATATATTAAAAATTCTGTGAACTTTGTTGCTAAAATACTAAAAACAAATTTATTTCCAAACACGTCTTTTTTAGATCTCACGGTGGAGGTTCCCGGACATGGAAAGGTGGTGGTGGACATTGCATATGGTGGCACATTTTATGCATTCGTTAGTGCTGAAAAGTTAGGACTCGACATTTGTTCTGCAAAGACGAGGGACCTTGTGGATGCGGCGAGTGCAGTGACAGAAGCAGTGAAAGCTCAGGTCAGGACAATAGTTGCCTTCATAATATATTGCTCCTCTGTGGCATGGAGAAATATACATTATCATGCCTGTAAAGAAAATTAAATATCTGTATATCTAAATTACTAATAGTAATCAGAATAGGGTACTGATTAAAATTTTAGGCTCTAGAACAAGACTAACCATGAATTCCAGCTTTGCCACTTGTAACTTTTGTAACCCTGGACAAGTTACATAATTTCCATGTGCCTCAGTTTTTCTATTTGTAAAGTGAAAATTACAAAATAATTGTAAGGTTGTCGTAAAATGAGATAAGTCAGTGCTTGGCCTATAATAAATGTTCAATAAATTATAACTATTATTCTTTAATAGTACATATATACTAATATAGTTTGTGGCTATGTACAGTAAATGTACTATATAGAATTCCGCTAATTTGACATACATGTGCTTTGCTATATGTGGTCATTCTGCAAAACTTGAAAATAATTAATGTAAATATGGCTTACAAAATAGATTTCATTACATCTGATAAGACTTTTTATTTCATGGAGAACATTAATTCCTAATTAGTGAATTTTTTCCTCTTTAGCTAAGAAGTTCCTCAAATAATTATTCAAGTAACTCTAGTTTTGGCTCGGGAAAACTATTTTGATAAAATCACTTAACATAATAAGTCTAGAATATTTTTTCATTTCTAGCACAAGTCTGCCATTTTACCTTGAAATTGGGACCTATAAATAAAACATATATGTACAGTATTTGAATGTTCTGGCATATGAGAATTTAATTATTAGTCTGAGTAAACATAATTTATGAAAGTGTCTAATATACTTGTACTAATAATTATTTATGGGCCTATTTTATTTACTTATTTTATTTTTTAAGTAAGGAAACATTACTGACAATATTTATTTGTTCAAATGTATCAGTTTAAATAAATCGCATCTTAATATTACATATTGATTTTGTTAAGCATATATTATCTCAGGTATTTTTAAATTAATTCTAACTTGCTTGGTTTTATGTATAATTAAACAATTAAAATCTACCAAAAGGAGAGAGAATCAAGGAAATAGATATGAAATTTTCAGCATGATGCTTTTAAAGGATTCTTGGATAGCCATTTAGGTCTGTATCTATCATTCATACATTTATTTCTTCATGTATTTGTTTATTAAACATTGGACCACTTATTATATGTCAGGTACTGTGCCAGACATAAGGCATATAAGAGTTAAAATGGGATGGTCTCTGTCTTCACGATCTCACAATATAATGGAAGAACAAACAATGATTACGCTATAATATTATATATAAGTTTATATAAAAAGTGCTATGGGTGCATAAAGTCTGGAGCAACTCATGGCTTGATTAGGAAATTTGGCCCAAAAATATAAGTAGAATTCAAATTAGGCATTCTAGAGAGTAAAATGAGATTAAAACCTGACCAATGTTAGTTTTAAGTAAAGAAATCTATAGTAGAATAATTTTCCTCTGGGGTGAGGGAGGCAGGGGAAGAAAACGTGGGTAGAAAGAGTAATAGCCAGGAAGTTGTATTCTATTTCAAATGTGAGTGAAATGAGACCAGGGGGCTGTAGCCACAAATAAAATCAGGATTCAACCAAGACATTTTCACAGGATTTGGCAAATGAGTTAGCATCACATATGATGCTCCAAGGTGGTCAGTTTACTACTTATGTGGAAAAAAAAAAAAAAGGCGTTAGTTTTTTGACCTATGATTTGTTTTGTTAATATGTTGTTTTTTTCTTAGGAGTTTATAGAAATTAGCGACATTGTTTTTCAAACAGAATTCAGGAACATAGGTGACAAAGAATTTCTGGTTTGTAAAGTCATCAAATCGAGTCCAAATGAATCCTGGAAAAACAGCACGCATTTGCTCTCAAATGTCAACAAAAAGAAATACAAAAATCAGCACTGAGGGAAAATTGAATAGTTTCTTCTTATTTTAAATAAGGAAGACATATATTTATTTAAAACACATTAACTGAAGAGAAACAGAAAAGAGCATAGTTGGGGGGAAAAGAAAAATTCTTTGTAAAATTTAAGATAAAAGGGTAAAAACTGGGCCGGCCCGGTGGCGCACTGCTACAGTGCGCCGCCTGGGAAGTGTGGCGGCGCTCCCGCCGAGGGTTCGGATCCCACATACAGACCAGTTCCCGCTCACTGGCTGAGCGAGGCACGGGAGCAACACCGAGGGTTGCGATCCCGTTGCCGGTCCCGGTCCGGTACGGGCGCAACACTGAGGGTTGCAATCCGTTGCCGGTCACGAAAAAAGACAAAAAGGAGAAAAAAAAAAAAAAGGGTAAAAACTTAGTGGGCAGGAATTATTTTAGGATGTGTTAGAAGAGAAGAGAAATCTGACTGATGAGAAGTTAGCAAGTGCTGTTTGATTTAAAAGAAAACGTGGGTAGAAAGAGTAATAGCCAGGAAGTTGTATTCTATTTCAAATGTGAGTGAAATGAGACCAGGGGGCTGTAGCCACAAATAAAATCAGGATTCAACCAAGACATTTTCACAGGATTTGGCAAATGAGTTAGCATCACATATGATGCTCCAAGGTGGTCAGTTTACTACTTATGTGGAAAAAAAAAAAAAAGGCGTTAGTTTTTTGACCTATCCTTGGTGCTATTGACTAGCATTTTTTTATTTTTTAAAAGATGACCGGTAAAGGGATCTTAACTCTTGACTTGGTGTTGTCAGCACCATACTCTCCTAAGTGAGCTAACTGGCCATCCCTATATAGGGATCCAAACCCGTGGCCTTGGTGTTATCAGTACCACACTCTCCCAACGCTCACCCAGTGAGGTAACCAGCCACCCCTATATAGGGATCCAAACCCGTGGCCTTGGTGTTATCAGTACCACACTCTCCCAAGTGAGCCACGGGCCGGCCCCATATCTTCTAGCATTTTAAATTGCACTTGCTCAAAATGGAGCTTATCAATTTCCCATGTAAAACTATTTTCCTTCTGAACTTATCTACTGCAGCAAATTAATAACACCACTAATTTTCTAGTCACCTAGATGCCTATCTGTTATTTTGTCTTTTCCATTTCCTACATTAAATTATCTGCCTAGTTGTATGGGCCTATTTTAACACTCCTGAAACTTTAACATAATTTATAACTTAAATAAAAATATATACTATATCACTGTTCTCAATTATCATTTCTCCAGAACTGTCAGTACCAACATGTGGAATTATTTTATCGTAATAACTTCTGAAGCTCTGAATTTACATCAGCTTTCTGTTTCATCAAACACACAGCTAGTAGTTTAACAATTGGGCACAAAATAATTTCATCTGATTTTTTAGTGAAATCAAGGGGAAACGTCATAATTCTCTTAATAATAGGAAGAACTTCTCATTAAAGCTTGAACTTCTCACCAAGGTGGCAAAAGATGGACTTTGAGGGAGGAGGATTCTGATAAAAATATGAGAACAAATTCCATTAGAGATGTATCATGCAGTAGAACTACTTTGTGAATTGCAGACCGTTCATACTGCTGAAGCAGATTTAGGGAAAGGCCATTTTGCAGGGAGCTGCAATAAATATAGTATAAATTCATCTTCATTCGCTCATTCTTTTAACAAACATTTACTAAGAACTTATTGTATGTCAGACACTATGCTAGATGCTGGAGACCCGAAGAAAGAACAAAGCCCACCTTCAAGGACGTCGCTCTAGTGGGGGAAGCAAGCACATCAGTTAAGGGTCTTATGTTGGAATGGCGCTGTAGCGGAGGTGGGGCATAGAGGCCTTAAGAGTATGGACAACAAAGATCCAATCCACGGGCCTCTTTAATGTGGTTTTAGATGGACTCTTTGGGTTTGAAGAACCCAAATCTGTTCAACTGGCTTTAAACAACAGTTAAGTGGGATAGAATGTACTAATTGTAAGGATACATCGGGAAGTAAGGCTATGATAATCTCAATCATACTATGAGATATTACAGAAATCCAGGAGAAGTTAAACAACTAAACTTCTCAAAAGAACAGGAAGCATTGCACATTGGGCCTAGATGTGCTCCACCATGGAGTGGCAGTCACCCCACCAGTGCCTGCTTCTGTCTGTGGGTATCTGCTGCTTTTCATTCAACCAGCTGACTTTATCCTATATAATAAATCCTTTTTATTTTCCCCATCCAATTGTTTCTCTTATCTAATAGCTCCTGTATCCTTATAACTTTGGCTTGCCCATGGCCTCTCACAGTCCTTGTCTCTATCACTGGTATTAACTTCAGCTCTAGATACTCATTGCCTGATTTTTTTAAAAATTTTATTTTGTCGATATACATTGTGGTTGATTATTGTTGCCCCTTACCAAAACCTCCCTCCCTCCTCCTTTTCCTCCCTCCCACCCAACAATGTCCTTTCTGTTTGCTTGTCGTATCAACTTCAAATAATTGTAGTTGTTATATCTTCTTCCCCCCCCCCCCCCCC